AGGCCAGCTGGGGCTACAGGGAGACCCTCTCTCAAAATAATTTATTTAATTTAATAAAAAAAGATGGGAGTGATTTCTTAAAGTTGGTAATTACCATAATCATGATTCAAATATGCATGTTAAAATATACCTTATTAAACAAACTACGTTCACTTTAAATGCAATGCTTTAACTACTTTTCTCCATATAGTGTACAACGTACAGAGTATTCTAAAGTTCACTAAGAAGCCATATCCCTAACATAATGTCTTTACCCTCACCTCTTTTCTCTGAAGACTAGTCCTGTGTTAGCCCAGCATGGGATGGCTCAACAACATGCTCTACATCCTTAGTGCTAAGGTAAGAGTATCTCTCAGCATCCTATTCAGGAAATCCAGAATCTATGCAACACTATGCAACAAAGTTAATTTTAGAGTAAAAATTGACTGCAAACTCTGACTTTAATAATTTATTAGATGCTTATTGACTGTTGACTCTAACAAGGCAAAAAAATTCTGATTATTTCTCAAATTTAGAAAAATCTTAGCGCATCTGTTCAGCCTTTTTTAATTTTGTGTGTGTGCGTGTGTGCATATGCGTGTATGTGTGCTGTATGGAAGCATCACAGCATAAGTATGGAGTTCAATTTTGTGGAGTCACTTCTCTCCTTCCACCTTTACATGGGTTCCAGGGATCCAACTCAGGTTATCATGTTTTCAAGACAAGCATCTTTATCTGCTGAGCCATCTCAGCAGTCCACTGTTCAGCCCTAAAATGCAACTGCAACCATGTGATTTTTTTAGAATGTACTATACATAATCTACTTGAAAAAGCAAGACTAAGAGAATTCAAGGATCATCAGAACTTAAAGAGAAAAATAAACTCAAGGAACAAAATGAAATTCATTGTAATCAAAGAAAAAACACTAACCATATGTTGATTTTGCCTAGCAACATGGGGGCAAGTTTCAATTCCAATATTCTAATCTCTAAACCTTCAGAATATCGATTAAACTTCTCAAAGAACAGGTTAAGAAAATGATAAAGTTAGACAATACGAATTGCAATGTCAATAAACTACACACACTGCCTTCATCAACAGGCACCAAAAAACAGGACTACAAAAAATAAGTGAGATAAGCAGGGAGTGAACAGATTCATAGATGAAAGTTCAAAGTAAACTAAACAAGAAAAAGAGGAAGTTATTAAACAATGAAGATTAGGACTATTAATCAATTACTTCATATAGCAAAGTAACAAATACAAAATTATTTTTGAGAAATCACTGCCACAAACCTTTTTACTCCGAATTCTAAAGAATTTTTTTTTTTTTCAAGAAAATCATCCCCAAAGTCGCTGTCCCTCGAAGCTGTCCTCCATAAACTATAGCCATCCGGCCCATTTAAAGTTTTGGAAAAATGGACTAACACAAACTAAGCTGGGCACGGCTGACATATGCCTGGAATCCCAACTCTTGGAAGGCTGAAGCAGGAGAATCCAAGTCTGCACCCAGCCTGGGCTACAAACATCTCCCAATGCCACTAAAATATCGAAATTCATAAGGCTGCAAACTCCTTGGCTTTTTTTTTTTTAATCACCTCTTTATTATTGTAATTTTGCCAGTCAGTCCTGAAGAAATTGTAGCACAGGAGGTCCAGAACCACAGGGAAGCTTTATTGCTCTGTGTCTACACTGCACCTCCTGTTCCTACCCAGCCCACTCATACAAGCCTATGACTAAATACACGTTTATGAATAAATGCCAGTCTGATGACTAAACGAAGAAGGCAGGCATGACTACTTAAGGAATACCTACTGTGCACAGTGCTTTAAAATACCAGTCTGGGGTTCGACAACATATGTCTATTGTCAAAACTGAGCAGTGCCCTATACTAAAAAATTGATATTAGTCCGCTCGACCCCACCCTGCAGCTTGAAGCAAATACTCTCTCTGGAGTGTCCTGCGCCCACCAGAAGGCCCCCGACCGGACGTTTTCTGAAGCCAGGAGTCCGAAGCCCGCTGGTGTCCCGGCTCCTAGGACACTGAACAAGTCAGGGCCATCCGGGTGCGGGACCACCCCGCCCACGCCTGGACCTCAGCACACTTGTAGTTGCCGAGGCTGCGGCGAGGCTCAAAAAAGTAAAGTGGGCGTTCTCGCGGCGCAGAGTTAGTTTACCATCGGAAGCGGTCGCAGCGCCAGCCTGGTCCGGCCGACTCACCCTCTGGCAGCTCCACTGTGAGCGCGTGGCGGAGCGAGCCCGTTAGACGGTTGAGCTGCTCCACCGCTCTCTCCATCCTCGGTGCGGCCTCCGCGCCCAGCGCCCTACATCCCGCCCGGTCCAGCCTGCGGGCGGAGGAGCAAGCTAGGCGTGCCCGATGTCTGGGAACGCGGGGCTCCTAGCCGCGGCAGTCCAAGGCTCTGACAGCTGCCGGACAGACCGCGCTGCTGAGGGAACCCGACACCGCCCCCGCCTCCGCTCGCTCTCGCCTTTCCTGCCTTGGCTCTGCTTCCCTCCTGGGCTCGCGCGGCCTTCTGGGAACTGTAGTTCTGGACTGATGGGGCCCGGGCCGGGGCGGAGCCAGGCGGTTAGTCCACAGACCCAGAACTTGCCCCAGAGCCACTCTCTGTGCAGAAATTTACTTGGGGCTGGCCAAACGCAGGCGATAAAGAGATTTTTTTTTTTAGGGGGGTGGTCTTTTTTGAGACAGGGTCTCTCTGTGCTCCCAGCTGTCCTGGAACTCAGTATGTAGACCAGGCTGGCCTTGAACTCACAGAGATCCTCCTGCCTCTGCCTCCCGAGTGCTGGGATTAAAGGCGTGGGCCACCACGCCCGGCGATAGAGACTCTTTAAGCGTTCTCATCTTATTCTTCCAAAGTTGTACAGGAGCAGTCTCCTTCAATTCTAATGCACCCCTATAAAACAGATTGTTAAATCCATCACCACCATCCTAATATTAATGCACTTGTTTTTCTGATAAATGAATGGCTTAAATATCATACTTCCATATGTCAAATCTGAAAAGTAATAAAACTCAAATTCCAAAGCAAAACATGGAGGGGGGGTCCTTCATTCTAAGTGACAACAAAATAGCTTAGTTATCCTGCTGAGAAAAATCTCAACGAGCAGGGACACCACTCTACCATGTGCCCTGCTGTCCAGCTACTAAACACAGCGTGTGGCACCAACTCTAAACTTTAGAGAAGATATTAATGACAACGTGAAGAAAAAAAATATTTGGCAAAATGCAATCTCTGTGAAATGACAAGACCCGGGAGAAAATACAAAGCCTTTGACTTCCTGAGTATACCAGGGCAGATTAAACAGAAATACCCAAAGCAGGCACGGTAGCACCTGCCTGTAATCCCAGCCCTCAGAAGGCAGAGGCAGATTCCAAGTTTGAGGTTAGCCTGAGCTACATGGTGAAACACTTGGTTATTTTATGTTTTTTCAGGCAGATGCATATAGCCAATGCTAGGCTTCAATTTGATGTGTATCTGAAACCAACAGTGAACTTCTGATCTTCTGCCTCCACTTTTCAAATGTTTGGGTCACAGATGTGCACCACCATACCTGACAGATACAAAGACTCAGTTAATAACTTTTTTTAAGTTGGGACTGGTTTGTATTGGATGAATCTTAAAAGGATACCACAATAAAAATGTTAACCAGAAAAAAAAAGTTGGGACTGAAGAGATGGCTCAGTGGTTAAGAGCAGTCACTGTTCTTGCAGAAGACCCAGGTTCGAGTCCCAGCACCTACATGGTGGCTAACAACCATCTGTAACTCCAAACTCCAAATTCAATGGGATCCAATGCTCTCTTCTGACCTCTACAGACATTGCGGGACACAGGTGCACTTACATGCAGGCAATACACTCATACACATAAAATAATGAAATGTTCAAAACAAAGTTTTTAAAAGGCAAAAACTCAAACAGCTGCAGCTTGAAAGAATCCAATTAGTAAGTATGAGACTGGCTAGCACAACCAACAATAAAATGTTAAGGAAGAAATTCTTTCATCTTAGATCTATTGCCAGTGCCAAGATGATACTGGAGTAAACAGAAAAACAAAGGACTTGATTTTCTCAACCTTTCCCTCACAGAGACAAAGCTTTCCCTGCAATGAATTCACACCTGTAAAAGAGATAGTTTCACCTGCCCATTCACTATATAAAGATAAATCACCTCAGCCTTTTGCAAAGATCGAGTACAGGATATAAAGAAGAAAACCATGGCTGGCATGGGTATTCCCTGCCTGTGCCATTCTAAATCAATTTCAACTTACAACTAGCAGCTTGAGGCATCATGCTTCAGAATCAAGGCAGATTCTATTATCTTCTCTTAACTTGTTGGTTCAGATGAGACTTAAACCTATATGGCAAGAAGGGAGAAGTCAAAGCTTCCAAGGAAAGACAAAGGCAATGGGCCAATCAGAGCCCAACCAAACCTTGCAACCTGGTCTCAAATGAAAATGCTCTGGCTTTGTTTGTCCCCATCAAGTCATCCAAAATGTCATGTTTCTGTGTTTGGGTTACAGTTCTGTAGAAGGGCCCTTTCCTAGCATGTGCAAGATCCTGGTTTCAGTCTTCATCGTCACAATAATAAGTAAATAAATAAAGGAGACGGAGAAAAAAAGAGAAAGAAGAAAAGGAAGGAAGGAAGGAAGGAAGGAAGGGAGGAAGGAAGGAAGGAAGGAAGGAAGGAAGGAAGGAAGGAAGGAAGGAAGGAAGTTTCAATGCCAGGAATGATAGCTTGGGCCTGTTGCCTCAGCTTGAGCACAGAAGTTCCAGGCCAGCCAAGACAACATAGAGCTCAGGAGGATTAGCAATTCTCATTGTTACACCAAAGTCAGTCCCTCAGCACTTGTTATCACCAAGAAGGTGGTGATAGCTCTCTAGGCTCCATAGAGATCATTCCCAAAGTCCTGTGGGCACTAAGCCCAGGCCTAGAGTGCATGAGCAGGGATAGAGCCCAAGGTGACTCAACTGTGGGCAATGCTTCCCAGCTGGTCACTGTTCATCACAGGACTGAGACATCCAAGAGCCTTACAGAGCTGTAGATTGTCAGTTCCAAATTTTGCAGTTTGGTGGAGTCTCCCAAACAGCTCTGCTTTAGGGTATATGAAGCTACAGTATTACTTTGATCCAAAGTAATCGCCTCTTGTCCAGTTCAATTTCTACAGTGATAGAAATGTTCTATAATCTGTACTATCCAAAATAGTAACCACTAATGTAGCCACTAGATACCTAAAATGTGACTGGTCCAACTGAATATAAAATCCATATTTAAATATAATTAATTTAAAATAAATAATCACATGTTGACCAGCTACCAGATTAGACAAAGGAGTGATTTATTACACTAAGCAAGAAGCTGGAGAAAACCCAGCTGAAAGAAAAACTTCCTCATCTTTTTATAGTCCTTGACTTCTTGAACAAATATTTGAAGACCAAAAATAGTGAGAACACACTTGAAAGATTATCTATGACCTATGATCTATGGTTCTTGTCTAGGACAGAAATTCAACCAAATGTGGTTGGCTACCCATATAGCAATCATGGAACTACTGAACTCATGGGTGTATCTTGCCAGGATCATGTTCTTACATCTAAATCTAAGCTATTCTGAAAATTGTCTTCATATTCATGATTCAGAATATTCAAGCCACTTGATATAATTTGGTGAACCCAAAAGTGTGCCATTGTTAATTTTAGAAAGACATTATAAATGTAGTCCCTTAAGATTAAAAACTTCATACCACAGTTGGACGAATACATTTTGAACTTTTTTACTAACATTTTTTCATCTAAATTTTTTCATTTAACTTTTTCAGTAACTGGAAATATGAAGACACTGTCCATGAAGTACTTCATTTGTTGACACTGTCTTCTGTAAATGTCAATTATATGGCTTGACTTAATCTTAAAACTAATCTCATTAGCAAAGTGATAAAATGTCATGCACAGCCCATCATGGCCAACCAGGATATTCTGGAAAAATGTAAAAAGAACCTTATGATGAATTACTGGTCCTTTACACATCATGCAAAAGATGAATACTATAAAGACAAAAACAGTTCATGTTGTCACCGACAACTGACCTACACTGGGATCCTTGTGAGGAGGGAAGGCACATTCCAAAATGATGAACATTCTGATCTTTGCTTTGGTATTCCAAATGGTTTCAGGTGATGGAAAACCCCTTAGTTCTCACAAGATACATGAGAAAGATCCAGTTCAAAGTCCTGAGCATATATTTTTGTACATGTGTGTATGTATGTTTCTCATCTTCATTTGTATGTATATATCATAAAAATAAAGGCCTGGGCTGTGGATGTAGCTCAGTCTGTGGAGTGCTTGAGTGCTAGCATATCTGAAACACTGGTTCCCTTCCCACAGAGGCATAGATACAGTGTGGAGGTGTAAACTTGTAATCCCAGCACTCAAGAGCTGGAGGCAGGATCATTAGAAATTGGAAATCATCCTTATCTACATAGTGAGTTTGAGGCAATCCTGGGAGTTCTTGTCTCAACAAAGAAATAAAAATGATAATGTTCACTGCTTTATTCATATTCATAAAACGGTCCTTTTAAAGTGTTTCAACTCCTTGAATGCAGTGAAGGATGTACCTAACATTTTATCTCAGGTAACTGAAGTTTACCCCAAACCACAAAACCATTGAAGGTTAATATGGAGCTCACTCTCAAATTTTCCATGTAACATTAGTGTTGTTTGTGAAAATTAATACTCAACCAATGGTGTTCTCAAACCCAAGTAAGAGTTATACATCCCAGAGTTGAAAATTATCAAGATTTTTAATGCTAGGAAGATGAGAATGCAACATAATAACCTAGAGATAGTATTTTAGAATGACAGTGATATCTTATGTTGTCTTTAGCAACTCTAACACACTGTGATTCTCACAGTTCCTCAAGCCAAGAATAGCTGTTTGGGAAGGCGCATGAGCAATAAGGACTATCATGTTGTTTTCTGTTTAAGGTTGAATATGGAGTGCCAATTGATTACAGTAGTGGGGAAGTTAAGGGACCTTGGTGTTTATGAGACAGACTGTGAGTATAGGATTTCACAATGACCCATAACCCAAGCCAGGAGAATGTTAAAATATGTTTTCTTAGTATGTGGGAACATCTTTATGTGTCTAGATTCTGGGTAAGTGCCTCACCACTGATCTATGGCCCCAATGCAAATGTCTGAATTCTAGAACAATTTTAGCAACTAACTACTGATGCAATGTTCAAAATCCTACTGAACCTTTAAAACATTTGCAGAAACACGAAAAGACAAGATAAATTTCACATCTTCCTGGATTCCATGGAGCAATAGTATTAACAAGGACAACTCAGAAAAAAATCTAAAAAACAAACCTTTTGTGTGCTGTTGAAGAATGGAAAATCATAAGGGTTGGGGATTTAGTATAATGGTAGAGCTCTTATCTCTCAAACACAAGACCTTGGATTCAAGCCTCAGCTCCAG